ACAAGTATTTGACAAAGATGTATTGTGCCTATCAGTGCCTAATGAAGCACTAACCAGAGTAAATGATGAGTGACAGTTTAATCAATTCAGCTCCTTCAGTAGCCACCAAGGGCATGGTGGAATGTAATTTTTTAATCTTTCATTTTTCAACTACCCTGTATGAAAGGATCACATCTGTTATGGAAAAGAAATTTTCCTACAAGTCATAGCATAGTCTTTTAGAAGCTGATCTAGAGGACAAAGCTCATTGGTCTATTTTGCAAGTATATACCTTCCTTCAGAGAAAAGTGGACAACTCTGCACTAAATAGCTCCAGCTTTCTTTGCATAATGCTATGTTTTAGCAAACCGTGGCCAAATAAAATTTACCTGCGAGGTTAATTACCAAGGAAGTTTTCTGAGTTAGCATTGGATTTAGTGTTCACATCTAACCTAATTTACTTTAATGGTCTCTTCTCTCTTTGTCACTCCTTAGGCTGGAATGCTAATACATGCTTGCAGAATTAATCTGAGTCATTGAACTCCTTTCAAAACAGAATTACCTAGATTTCTTTAGATTCTTGCTTTGTGCCGACTTTGAGACCAGCAACATCAGCATCGCTTAGGATCTTGTTAGAAATGCAGAATTTCAGGCCTCAACCCACACTTAGTAAGCCGCAACTATGTCCCCTTCCTCCGTAAGACAACAGGTTGAAATTTCTAGCCCTTCTAGGCTCCAGGTATATAAATCTCCCCTAACCTTCCACACTCAGGTGGTGTGCCCTCCAGAGCTGGGCTAGCATCTTATCATGGAACTGGAACATAGATTATACTAGAATTACTATGTTCATACATATGGACATGTGACAGAATTTCCCAGAATTGATTAACAGTCCTGAAATTTTATTTTATCTTAAGCTATAATGAGAAGTGAGGCTGAAAAATATTTTTTTACAAACTATAGCGTATATTCTATATGCTAAAGGAAAGTCTAAATTACCTTTATATTTTATTAATAGAAAAAGACATTTATTAGGCTGGGGGTAGGGAAGCTGCTTAGCATGTCAAAGGCTCCCCAGCACCAAATGGGGCCATGTAGAAAAGGCTACTGGGCTGAGGAAATAGCTCACAAGGAAACCATTTGCCTGACATGTGCAGGGGTTTGGCTTTGAGCCCCAGCAATACCAAAAACAAAAGACAGGAAGGAAGGAACAAAGGAAGGAAGGAAGGGGAGAAAAATAGACAGGTGGGAGCTGGATAGATGGCTCAGCCTTTAAGAGCACTGTCCACTCTTGCAGAGAACCTAGGTTCAATTCCCAGCACCCACATGGTAGCTAACAACCTTCTATAACTCCAGTTCCAGGGGAATCCGACGCCATCTTCTGACCTCCACGGGAATTGCATGACACAGGTTCTCTTGCATACATACAGGCAATGCACTCATACACATAAAATAAAAATAATAAAATATTTAGAAATAATAATGATAATTTTTTTTTAAAACAGAGACAGGTGTTTCTGTTTGTTTTTTGTTGTTTTTGCTTTTTGTTTTTGGTCTTTTTTGAGGCAGGGTCTCCCTGTAGCTTCAGCTGGCCTGGAACTCACTATGTAGACCAGGCTGGCCTCGAACTCAGAGATCCACCTGCCTCTGCCTCCTGAGTGCTGGGATTAAAGGTGTGCACCACCAACACCTGGCCAAGACAGATGTTTTTAAAAGATATAATAAGATCATCATGAATTCATTGGAGATTACACAACCAAATTACAGAAAGAAATATGTTAGAGAGGTTTGTGTGACAATTAATAAGAAATGCTCATTATTTTCCATATCTTAGATGACTTTTTAGCCTTTAAAAATCTTGTGATTTCTTTGGATTAATTTTACTTAAATTCACTTTTATGCTGATTTTTATGCTTCATTTTGCATTCTTTTTCATAATAAATATTACCAAATTGTGGACATCCAGGCCTGAAAGGTTATCTTTTTTTTGATCATTATTGCTTATACTGGCAAATAATGATCAATTTTTCTTAGAGTTCTATTTTGAATTTTAATGAAATAACCTTTCATATACTTATGACAATTAAATTTGGAAGTTTTGCATTCAAAATAACTGGGCATGTGTTTTATATTACCTTACCAGTTAACTGGCCCTAAAATAGGTTTCAGTATATTATATCATATGATGCCTTTGGCTATAAGCTTTTGTGACTAGATTTTATCCTTTCTGATATGTGGGGTGTGCATATACCAATGCATGGGCATATGAGGGCCAGAGGAGACGGGTATCGCCTTTTACCTTACTCCCTTAAAATGGAGTCTTTTGAATAATGTGGAGCTAGGCTGGTGACTAGCAAGCCCCAGCAATCCTCCTGTCTCTGTTAGGATTAAAGGTGTGTGTGGCCATGGCCATGTGTTTATGTGGTCCTGGGGATTTGAACTCAGGTCCTCATTCTTAGCAAAAACTCTTACTGATTGAACCATCTTCCCTGCCCCCTCCAATCTTACTGAAAAAATTTGTATTAGGTAGATGATCATTGTATAATCATTCAAATTCTGAAAAGAAGTCACAACTTAGGCATTTCCTCATTCAATATTATGTTCCTTAAGTACAGTGCTGAAGTAGATGAGTTCATTCTCAGTAAACTCTCAGTGCAATCATCTTATTCTATGTCAAGAGACAGAGCACAGGACTAATGGAGTGTGGAAAAGAGTGAGAGAGAAGCAGGCAGTGGTTCCTTCATGTTAAATCGAAGGGCTTTTATCGTTGTTTGGCAGTACGATCTTTCCAATATAAAAGAATTCTGCTACATTAATATGCTGATACATTGTGTAAGACTACCTTCTATTTTCTTGTACATTATAATTTTACATGATCTCTAAGCATAATTCTTTCAGCTTCATTAGTGCAACCTCAAGCATCTTTGATACAGATGATGTCATAGGACTCATCCATTAGGAATGAAAGTCCAAGTCCCTTAGCCAGCCAAGTAGGGAAAAGCCTATAGAGAACTGCATCATTTTGTTCCAGCTGAACAGAATGGCAGTGTAGATTTATCTCCTAAGTATCATATTTTGGAGATGAGCTAAGATAAGAATAAGTAGCTGTAAAAGAAATACTATAGGCAGTTGTGACAGCTCTGTTACCTCCCCAGCCAGCATGCCAGCTCAGCTCTGCACACAACAGGCTGTGGTTGGCTTCTGCTGAGGTCTTCATAGAGTTGCAGCTTGGGGAGAGGGGGAAGTGGGCGAGATCAAAGATGAAAGATAGTTTATTCTCATGTATATAAAGGAAGGTATAGGGATTCAAATCGAAGGTATTTTATGTGAACTCAAATAAGAAGACAATGAAAACATAGATCAGTGGTCTTAGAATTCTTAGAAAAATTTAGAAAACCACCAGACTGATATTTTAAGTAGATTTAATCAAATATCTGAAACCCTAATGTTAATAAATGTGTCATTTCTTTTTATTTTCCAAACAATAAATCTCTCCACACCTATATTGTCTCTCAAAATTACAACGAAGAGAATTCATGTTAACATACATCTATCTAAATGATATGAAATTGATTCTTATTCCCCAAGTGAAATTATTTTTATCCTATAATGTAGGATTGTGCACTCATTTTGGCACTGTATACATTTATGTGTATGTTTAAATAGAAATTATATGGCATGCATAACAGGAAAAGCATTCCTACTAATATATTACTTTAATTCAAAACAGTGTTTATGTACAACTGTGACAACCAGAGTAGCTGTGGAGAGTAGGTCATTTGTCTTTATCCCATGAGTCTGAAATAAGTTAAAGATACAATGGTTGGCTTGCCCTAGATTGAAGATGAATGCAGCATTTGAACATATGCCCCAATATGCCCAGTCAGGATACAGAAGCCCATTTAAGGTAGAGACATTAAAAATTGTAGAGAATGGGCAGAAAGCAGAGAGAGCTAGAAAAGCCTGGGCTATCTGCACGTCTAGGTCTCCTGAAGGTTGGAACCAGATCCCTTCAGAGGTCTCACATGCAGGATGGCTGCTAGCTTGCTAGTTCTTTGCCTTTAGTGTGGCTTATCTGATCTATCTGTGCTAGTTTCTTGCCATCCTGTTCCAGATAACGTCTTCTCCCAGATCTTAGCAGAACTATGTATGTGACTGGCTGACTGCTTGTACTAAGAATTGGCTAATCCTGCTGAATTAGATGCAGGCTGCTGTGGTGTGGGAAGTAAGTATGATACTGTCTTGCTTGACAGGAACAGTGAGTATGGCAGCTAAGGTACCAGAGGAGGTTGAGCACATCGGATGACTGATCTATTGAGAAAGGGGCTAACTAGTCAGTTATATGGGGAGCTCTTTTGTCTGCTAGGTTCAGGGATGGCTTTCTTGAAGAGATGGTTTTGAAACAGGATTACAGAGGCTGACTTGATTTTAGAGCTCAAAAACAGATGAAAAAGGAGGGTATTCTAGGCAATAAGCAATCTGAGCCCTAGGCCTGCATTTGGCAGTAGATGATCTGGCTCAGCAGCCCTCAGCGTAACTGCCCTGAGCCATCCCAGCTATTCACATCTATGCCTGGGCAGAATCTTTGGTGTTTGTGGTCAGAGCAGTTGTGGGTTTTAAAAGTTCCCTAAATGGTGCTGATGCAGAGAATACTGAGAATCATTGGTAACTCTAAGTACAGTACATTAGGAGTTTGTGAACTATGCAGAGAGCGTGGAAGAACAGGACTGTGGAGGCTTTCCTGTGTCAAGCCAAGGACTTTCCCACCCATGCCCTATAAGAACAAAGCCTCTGAAGCCCGCTGTTTGGTTGGTTTCCACCCTGCCTCTATTTAGAGTCTTTGAGGGCAATAGACAAAATGGAGTGCAGAGTGCGGGTCCGCGTATGCCTCATAGCTTTTGGTGCCCATTAGAAATATTATTTATCCATTGTTTCTCCTCTGGGGAATGGACATTCTAATCTCAGATTTACTTTTCTAAGCAGAATTATTGAAGTTTTCATAATGGTTTTTCTCTCCTCAGGGGAGTTGGCTGCATATTTGTTGAGATGATCCAAGGAGTTGCTGCTTTTCCAGGAATGAAAGACATTCAGGATCAACTTGAACGAATATTTCTGGTAAGTTCTATACAAAGTGCTTCTGAGAAAAACTTCTTTCTAATTAGTCACAGCGACAGATTCCACAGTGATCAGCGGGAAATATTTTAAAATACATCTGTTATCACATTTACTTTTAACATTTTTTGGCCTTTAAAAAGCAGGAAATTTCAGGGCTGGAGAGATGGCTCAGTGGTTAAGGACACTGACTGTTCTTGCAGAAAACCCAGGTTCAAATCCCAGCACCCACATGGCAGCTAACAACTGTCCGTAACTCCAGTTCCAGGGGATCCGACAGCCTCTTCTGTCCTCTGTGGGCATTGCACGACATGGGTGTACTTACATGCAGGCATAACACTCATATGCATAAAATAAAAACAAATAAAACATTTTTTTAAAAAGCAGGAAGTTTCTTTAACAATTGTGCTTTTAAATGTGCGAAATATATGTATGCTTTTAAATATGTGAAAAATATGAACTAGCAGTGTATTGTAATGAGTACTCAAACATAAAATGTACTTAATGAGTACTCAAACATAATGGTTCCAAATAATGTATGTATATACTCACTCCCCTCCAAGTAGGTAGAGCTTAACTACATGCCACCTCTATTCCTGGATTGTAGGCTTAAATTAACTGTTTTCTGTAACAATGAGTGTGGAAAATGGTAAGTGCAGGGGAAGATTGTGACCTTGCAATGGAGACACTAGGAAAAACTCACCTGGGCTAGGGCTTTAGGACCAGTGAGGTGGCATGATGATAGCATATACCCTTGAGATGGTGTGACAAGAATAGAACTTCACATATGTGGCCATTTTCCCGAAATCTTAAGTCCAGTCTAACTATGAAATACATATCACATGTAACCAAAATGGAAGACATTCTGCAAGATTCCTCATTGGTATTCCTCTCAAAACTGGCAATGTCATCAAAAACAAGGAAAGTCTAAGAAACTGCCCAGCCCAGAAAAGAGGATAGGTGGGTGTAGCAGCAGCGTTAGGGTTCTCGTGAATGGAATCCTGGTTCAGCAAAACACAACAGAGAAAAACTAGTAAAATCCATGTAAAGTATGGTATTTAGTTAATGTCCATGTACCAATGTATGTTCCTTAGTTGTTGAAAATATACCATGTAAGACTTTTGCAAGAGGAGACACATAGCGAAGGGTGTAGGAGCTCATTGTAATATTTTTGCAACTTTTATATAAATTTTAATTTCTTTCAAAATTAAAAGCTTATTTTGAGGGGTTTTTTTGAGAGTTTTTTTTTTAACTGCCAAAAGGTGATCCTGATCTGAATTATTTGTGTTTAGCATCCTGTTCTGTCATATTTTATTTGTGACCTTGGACAAGGCCTTAACAGCTTTCTGAGGTTGTTCCTTCGTAGGTGAAGGAGGGCTGATAACTATAGTCTCCTCAGAGCTTACTTTGAGAACCATTAACCTAGGATAGAAAATGTTTTTAAAATGCCTGACATGCTGGGTGTGGTGGCACACACCTTTAAACCCAGCACTCAGGAGGCCGAGGCAGGTGGATCTCTGTAAGTTCAAGGCCAGCCTGGTCTACATAGTGAGTTCCAGGCCAGCTGGGGCTACAGGGAGGCCCTGTCTCAAAAAAAAAAAAAAAGTACAAAAAAAAAGCCTGTCACATAGTAAGTATGTGTTGTTTTTATTATGTCTTTTTTTTTTTTAATGCCAAATAGTTTACTTCAGGAGGCTTTTTTATATTACTTGGTAGTCATAGATGTACTACTTAAAATATAGACTGAGATCTAGACAAATTAAGGATTTTATTAAAAGGATTCAAACTAAACTCATTGTAAGAGTTCACATTACCATACTTTCCCTTACTTATTTTTAAAAGTCCTGTATGAAATCACTGAGGCAGGATGTAGTATGGCCTATGTCAGGAGATATACTGATTCCATTGTCATTCATGCTTGTTATCTGAGCATCACATTAAAACGTAGCTTTTATCTTGAACATGAGAGCAGCAGTAGGGTGTAGCTCACGCATTGAGACTATCACTATTGTGTGTCCCTCAATGTCAGCAATGAAATGATAAGAAAAGGAGACTGGAAACTAGAGAATTAAAGCCAGGTGATTCCTTCATGCAGTGTTCATACCACAGAGCTCCTGTAGAATAACACAAGTGCAAGAATAGCAGAGTCCAAGCAGAGAATCTCTCTTCAAAGGATCGTGCTATTGATTTTTCTTTTTCTCCTACATACACATGTTAAAATGAATTCTTATAACTAATAATGCATTTTTATAATGGAAAATCCCCACGGTGCCAAAAAGTATGAAAGTCAAAGACTTGTCCTCTATTCTATTACTCAAACAAAACCACGTTTAGTGTTTTGATATAAATTTTTGTATACTCTTTTCTATACATGCCATTAAATATTGACTCATGTTTACCATTTTGTAACTTGCTGTTTTCAATTGACAGTCTGTAACAGAAATCTTTCATTATGAAAAAGTCTTCAGAACCTATTGTTCTCTTTTTTTATTTATTTTTTTTCTTCTTTTTTTTGAGAAGAGTCTCACTGTGTATCCTTGACTGGGCTAGAACTCACTTTGTAGTATATAGACCAGGCTGACCTCAAACTCACAGAGAACCACCTGCCTCTGCCTCCAGAGAGCTGGAATTAAAGGTGCATACCATGAAGTCAGACTTCTATCATCATTCCTATGACAAGGAATGTTTCATTGTATGGTTGATGCATTATTTACATATGCAGTTGTGACACTAGGTAGGGTAACCAGGCTCCTGGGGATGGACCCACACTGAAGAACATTTGGGGACATAAAGTAGACTATCTTTGGGCCTTAAAAATAATAATAGAAGACATAAAATTGGGTGGGGAGTAGTAAGGTAGAGTGGAGGTAGGGGAGGGGTTCTGAATATGATCAAAATACATTGTATGAAATTCTCAAAAAAAAACCCAATAGAAATATTTTTAAAATGCTACCAGAAAAATCATTGTAGCCCTGTTCTATTAAGAGTAATTATTAGAATTTAAAGTCTTTAATGTAATAAAATTTAATTTTCATAAATTTGTTGACCATTCTTATATATCCATTCCTTCATCTAAACACACAAAACTCTTCCTTTCCCAACAAAATCTCTTATTTCCTAATTGGATTATATTGGTCCTATAGATTATTTAAGAAATAAATGATGTAATTTTGAGTATTTCCAATAAGAATAAATTATTCATATTTTATACCTCGTCTTATGTCTATAGCACTTAGGAAGCAGGTGACTCTATGAGTTCGAGACCAGCCTGGTCTACATAGTGAGTTCCAGGAAACTTGCACCACATAGTGAGATCCTACATCAATTACACACTATACTCTTTCTATGTGTGTGTATATGTGCGTGCACTCAGTTTTTTGCAGTGCTGGGGTTTGAACCCATGGCTTCCTTTATGCTGGGCAATCACTCTGTCCACTGAGCTACACTCTCAACTTTATATTTGTAGTTTTTATAAACATACTTTCTTTTCCTGTTTTCTATTTTAGACTTCATTTTCATTCACTTATTTTAGACAATTTATCCACAAATTTTTCTTTTCATTTGTGTGTGCATGTGATGTGTGTGTACATATGTGCATATTCACATGTATGTGGAAGCATTTGAGTATATGGAGCTGTGTTTGTCCATATATATGCATGTGCTTACAGAAGCCCAAGATTGGTATTGGGAATCTTTCTGGATTATTCTTCTGTATTATTCCTTAGAGGCAGGACCTCTTAATCAAACTCAGAGCTCACCAGTAAGGCTAGTCTCACTAGACAGCTTGCTCTGGGGATATCTAGTCTCCATCTTCTGAGGCTAGAATTATAAGCATGCCAGCATACCTGCATTGCATTTAGGTGGGTTCTGAGGATCCAAACTACAATCTTCTTGCTTGTGTGGCAAGCATTTTAATCACTGAGCCATTTCCCTGTATATAAGTATTCTCTGAAAATATAATAAGCCTTTCCATATATTTTATGACTGAATAAAGCAATAGAGAAAATTTTAATGAGCTATAGTTTGCGTTATATGTATATCTTTAATGCTAAAATATATCTAAATATTTATTCTTTTAATTTGTTTAAAGCTCAAGCATAATCATCATAATACCACTCAATTACATTCTAAGGCTTAATTTCTTAAACTTTAGGATCCATTTAGCTTTTTACCCTGATTGCTGTTAAACAATAATTATGTAACTTTTCCAAATTCCTGATTTGTTTTATGCTGAAATAATTACTTTTTCTTGTATTTAAAATCAGAAAGCCAGGCATGGTGGTGTATGTTTTCAGTATCAGCACTTGAAATGTAGAAGCAGGAGGATTAGAATTTCAAGGTCAACCATAGAGACCCAGCAACTTGAAGGCCAGATTGAGCTGCCTGTGACCCTATCTAAAAAATCAGTAAAAATGAATCATATGGAAAGAAATTTCTTCCTTTGTATAATATTTCAGGATGAATTCAAAAGGAAAGTAAATAGTTGTAGAAATTAATTATGTCAAAAAGCAATAAAACCAAGAAAATGAGTTTCATGACAGGAAATTTTTACTGGAAATTGTTGTATAATACAAGTAATTTCCATGTGAGAGCATTTGTTAGATTATGTCTTTATGGAGATTTTTCTATTATTTCTTAATTTTATGGCAGTGCTTTCCTAATTTTATGGGTATTCAGAGACCTTTGAGCTATGACTATGTTTTTGATAAGCCAGAGAAATAAATCATTATAAATTTCCAGTGGGATTATTGACATATCAAGCCATGATTTGTTCTTGTTAGACACAGAAATCTTTAAATGCAGATAACCATCATAACTGATGGCACCCCCTTTTTTATTTACAGTAGATACTCGATACACATAATGCCTTTTAAGATAAAACATACTTTAGTACTTAGGAGCTGAATATCAACATTTGTGTAAGACTTTTGCTTTAGTATTAAATGATGCTGCATTTGCCCTGAAGAATTAGATAAAATCAAAACAAGTCTAGGAACTTTTGC